CCATAAAAAAGAATGAAATAATGCCATTTGCAATAACATGGATGGATGTGGAGGGTATTATGCTAAGTAAAATAAGTCACACAGAGAAAGACAAATATTGTATAAAATCACTTATATGTGGAATCTGAAAAATACACTAGTGAACATAAATAAAAGGAAACAGACTCAGACATAGAAAACAAACTAGCAGTTATCAGTGGGAAGAGGGAAGGAGGGAGGGGTCAGACAGGGGTAGGGGATTGAAAGGTATAAACTATTATGTATAAAATAAGCTACAGAATATATTGTATAACACAGGGAATAAATCCAGTAACTATAAATGGAGTATATCTTTTAAAAACTGTGAATCACTATGCTGTACACCTGTAACATATAATATTGTACATCAACTATATCACAAATTTTTAAAAAAGTAAAAACACCAAAACAGCACATGCAATTCTTAAGAAGGAAGTTAAAATCATTCAGGTGTTGGAAGTACTTACAGCCAAGCCTTCCAAGAATAACTGTGCATCAACTGATGTTCCTCTTCTTTCTTTGGTCCATCCACTCCAGATAACCTTCAGAAAATTTGAAGGTTAAAGAATATCTTGTGATATTGCCTGGTGTTCTGCTGATACAGATACCCAAATCAATGGGCAAGTTTTACAAAATAAAAAATTCAGCATCTGTTTCCATTTTATTAAAATACTTTCATGTTAAAAGGCCTTTTTTAATATAAAACAAAAATTAAAATTATCATACTAAAACATGCCAAGTGATGGATTAAGTATTCTAGTTTGGTTATATATTTTATATAGTTCTTGGGATACCCCTGGCATAGGCATTACACACATTTTTAAAATGAAGAAAATAAAAAGGTAATTTGCCTAAGGTCCCCCATTAAATGGCAGAGCTTGAATTTGAACCCAAAGCTAACTCTGTCAGTATGCCAAATTGTGCAAATGCATTATTCTCATTTAATTTTCACTACAAACCTATTTCTGACGCTTGGCAAGATTAAGCAACAACTAGAGAAAGATCATAAATTAGTGAATGACTGTGCAGGGACTCAAATCTAGGTCCATTGCTAAATTCAGTGTGTTCTGCTACAAACATAGAAATAAAAAGAAAAGTAACATATATTATAAATATAAAATTAGGAATATGAAGCAAATAGATTACTGAATTAGGCAATGAGTGTCCTGTAACAGCCACTGTAGTCAATATGTCTATTCAAAATTAGGGTTCAAACATTTATCAGTAGTCACTGTCTATTTGAAATCTGGGTTCAAACATTTCACAAAGGCTAGATCAACAAAATCTAGCTTCATATAAGCAAATTGCAACAAAAATGCTACTTTGGCAAATGCCATAAAAAGAACAAATATTTATCCACATGCTTCTGGTCTCATTGGGAAGCTACTGTAGGGGTGCTGTGTCTGGGGTAGAGGGGAGAGAAAAGCTTACAGGATGCATTAGCAGAGCAGGAAACAGGCTACAGGTGAGACATCAGTGTGCAGAGAAGGACTAAATTGTGAAAATAAAAGGAGTATGCTTAGCTGTATCTCACGCTTCTACACTCTGCTCAAAGGGATACCCTAGAATCTGAAGTTTACCTGGAACAGAACTCAGACCAGATGATGTACTTCAAACTAGTGTCTTTTTGTTTCCTTTGTTTTCCTTCCTTATCTCACCCATCTTTCTTCAAATATTCTTTGTTTATAAAAATTTTTAAAAAGATAATACTGTCATTCTAAGGATTCTTTCAAACCATTTAAATATTTTGTAAAATGTCAATTGTATAAAATGAAGGCAATTGTAAAACTCATACACCCTAAAATTCAAGACAGAGCATACTGCTTCCCTAAAGTACCTTACTAAGTCAAAAGACCTTTTGTGAGTCTGGAACATCTGGTTACACCAAAATACAAGGAAGCTGACAAAGAATACTTGGGTTATGCCAAAATGATTGAGGAGCCAATTTAGCTCCTACTAGCCAAAGATGGAACAATTTGAGCATACAAAATAAATAATTTTAAAAAGACACATCATGTATGTTACAATCCATGAGTTCCTATTAATACAAAAAAATTTTTTTTAACTTAATGGACCAAAATTATTGTCAATGATTCTCAGTTTCTGTTTGAAAGTAGAGAAATCCTGACCATCATGAAAATAATGTAGAATAAACCAA